GTTCATCCACTGACTGTGGAACAGAAAGCTGCTTGTTTTTGCAGCCAAATGCTGCACATGGAGGCCTTTTTACTGCGTATCTCAATGGGAGAGGGGAGTACCAATATGGCGGCCAGTGGCTTCACTTTTTTCAGGCAATCAGCGATCCAGTGAATAAATAGAGATCAGTGGTTCCACCTCTGGATGGTTCTGGTTCCACTGGACCGGAGGTTCGTCTTTAATCTGTCGACCCGACATATGATGGTACCAGAAGGTTCTGGTTCTGTTGGGCTTCTAGGATCCAAACAGAGACTTGGAGGTTCTGGTTCTTTCAGAATCAGAACACAGAAGTTCTAATAAAGGTTCTATGAAAGGAACCGGTTCCCCTAAACTCATCTGGGCTCAGACACCACAGCAGGTTCAGTCTGAGCCGGGTCGGACCAGGAGAACTCCTCCAGGTGGGTCTGCTCCTTCCAGCCAGACTCCCTTACTGGACCGGGACAGAACCAGAACACCTGGATTATCTGTGAGGGAGCAGCTGACCCAGTGACCCGGATCTGGATCAGACAGATGTGTCCTCTGAGCTGCTGGGACCCAGTTTTAATCCTGAGGATTAGAACCGATCAGCGTTCTGACCTCTGACCCGGTTTTCTGAGGGTGGGTCACCAACAGCCGACACATGGACCCGTTCAGAACCTTTTCCTGCTCCAGAACCTGATCCTCTGTGTTCTGAGAAGCAGGATGATGAAACAGATTATTCCCCAGATCGATCTTCCTCACTGTGCTCATCCTCTTCATCATCTCTGGAACCGGGAAGCTGACTCATGTTTCCATGACGACCCGACCGATGAAGTCAGCACTCATGTCCTCGGTATTTTCCCGTTTTTAATATTTTTTATAATTTTTTTTATTCAGATAAATATCAAACTATATGGTAAACATTTTTCTGACTTCAATTGGTAAAAAGATCAGCATCCATTCTCATTTGTTTAAAAAAATTAAATTAAGTTCCTACTGATATATTATTGCAAGTCATTTGATTCATTTAGTAGGCCATGCAGATGCACGGTGACAATAATAATAATAGTAATAATAATTTAATATTAATAACAA